TGCCGAATTAATATGGAATAAGGCAATTATGTACTGGTTTTTTGCTGTTTGAGCAGTTGAATCATTTGTTTGCAACTTAGTGTTACAAACATGAAAGTTCGATCTGGGTAAAGTGTCGACATTCGTCCGCAAAGGGTTAATAATGATTTTAATTGTTAATTGTTCAGGAAATGTAAGATTAGTGCATAGTTTCCTTGTTTATAGTTTTTAGATATTGAGTTTGTTACTTAGGATTCTCTGATAAAAGTTTCGAATACTTCGATGTATCTTTCTCTTCGCCCTCGTCCGCAAAGTTCATAGTCGTTGACTCAATACAATTAAAGGACAGAACTGTTTTATTTCGATGTTCCTGTGTCGATTCATTACACAAATTCATTACACAGAACTGTCTCATATTAATTAAGGCACAGAACTATTTTATTTCGATGTTCCTATGTCGACTCATTCCAACCTTTAACCCTTTGCACTCGAACGGCACCTTTCAATCGCCGTTTGATTTGACCGAACGAAATGATCAAATTTAGAATTCAATATTAAATTTTATATAATGTATCGACACATGGAACATCGAAATAAACTAGTTCTCTCACTGAATTTGTACAAGGTATTTCCTTATATAGAATTGTAAAAAATACCATTGATATTTAATAAGAAAATAATGAATATTCGCTGAGAAAAATATTCTCGAGTGTAGAGGGTTAATATTGAATTGGAAATTTTTTAATTTTGCTGCAAATCGAGTGGCCACTAAAGGACGCCTCTCGAGTGCAAAGGGTTAATAAAATAGTTTCCCGAGGTATCAGAAAAATGTCTACCTCTTTCTGACACGACCAAGGTATAGCATAACGAGAGCATATAAAACGCAACAATGTCTAGTAGCACTTGAAACGTTCCCAAAGCACTCGAGTCTAGGTCCCTCTGGGGAATATCGACGCCACTTTGCCCGGTCCAATGATCAGCATCGTTTCGCCGCCCATTTTCAAATTGAAAACGACTCGGCGCTGGCCGAGCTATCCGCGTTTCCAGTCGAACGAAATCAATATCAGCTTGTAACGGCACAAAACCATTAGCGTCTTTCCAACACACCTTGCTGGAAGAACCCCAGCGACTAGACGAAGATTGATTCATCGTTGATTCCCTTAAAACACTTTGAATTCCCTAGCGACCGCCTAACTCTTGCTAACCATAACGTGTTATCATATAACATACCATAACTTCGAGATAAATATCGCACCCCATAGTCCAAGATGTCATTACAAAGAGAAAGCTTCAGTCTACGAAATTATGGTAGTTGCGAGATAAAAAAATTCTTTTCCAGCAAAGATTCCTCAAAGCTATTACAGACATTCGAATAATCAAATTGTTTTGTAAAAACGTATATCTACAAAAAAATATAAAATTTGATTCGAATTAATTATCTATTTAAAATATATTACATAACAATACGATATATGAGTTTTTTTAGCTATGCAACTTCGCTAATTACAACAGCATTGAAAAAATATAAGATTTAATTCGAATTGATTATCTGTTTAAAATATATTACATAAGTTGACCTCAATGAAAATTGCTATACAATTCAGTTTTCTGAAAATTAGCCGGTCCGCAGTTAACACTGTTTCCACCGAAGCTGTCAAAAGCCAGCTTTGGAAATTTCAACTTAACCAGTTATCTGTGTTTAACGAGTATACATGTCATCTTAACCAGTTAACCCTTTGAACTCTGTAGGCTGCAATATTGCACCAGTTATAATATTAAATATTTGAATGAATCTTAAAGAAACTACCCTAAAATTATTAGATTTTCCACACATCCCAATTTTGCACTAAGAAGGAAAATAGATCGAAGAAATGTTATAGTATTTCTCATTTTCGCTAGGAATAAAAATTAGTTGCAGTTGTTGATAGATTACAAAACAACCTGGAGTGCTAAGGGTTAACTGTGTTTGACGAGTATACACGTGATAAAGCTTACCATGATACTAATTCTTTCATGAATTCTTTATTTTTTCACATAAACATGTACTTCTATGTTTCACTTCGATCTTTCATTAAAATATACTCCGCGTGCACGTGTTAACACAGGAAACGGTTGATTGCAGGAACCGTGCTGAAGCTGCACGAATAAATGAACGAAAGAGTTAGGTGACAACATGGGAGGATATTCCAGGTAGATCGAGATAACGAAGAGTCTCGGGAGGGATGATGATCGATACCGGCGAACCGGTCGATCGCCACTGACCCAGTTGCCCGACACGAGATCTCCCGACGAATATATTTCTTGGCTAGGCCCGGCCACGACCCGATTGCACCA